GGGTGGCAAGGTTAGCTATTCCCCTCACCGCTGACCGTTGTTCCCTCAGAGAACACCTAGGGACAGCTTCGTCAGGGAGCATGTTGAGAGACCAGAGGCCTCATCTAGATTAAGACTCCTCCCTCTGATGGTGGCCAAAGCGAAGATTTTACTGCATCTCTTAAATGAGTCGGCTTTACTTCTCTTCAATATTTACGTCATTATAAACATTTACAATTATCCGGTTACATTCACTCTGAGATCTGAGGGGGCAAAATGCTGAACACAGCTGTAATCACCACACTTAGGCCTTGAAGATGTGTTCAAAGTTTATTCCCACTCTGTGAAAAGCAAAGTGAATCTATGATTCCATTCTCGTATCACCTGTACTAAAAAAAAAGAAAGAAAGAAAAAAAGAAGGGTGCCGGGGTGGCTCAGTTGGTTGAGCCTCTGACTCTTGATTTCAGCTCAGGCCATGATCTCATGGTTTGTGAGTTCAAGCCCCAGGTTGGGCTCAGCGCTGACAGGGCAGAACATGTCTAGGGTTCTCTCTCTCCCTCTCTCTGTCCCTCCTCTGCTTGCACACTCTCTGTCTCTCTCTCCATCTCTTAAAAGAAAAAAAAGTCATTCCAGGAGAGGGATCCAAGACCCCATTACTGACACTGGCCCTACCTTTGTAACCACCGCCATTGTTAAAGGCTTTCCATGATTATTGAACATGCCCTCCCCCACCCCCTCCTCTAGGGGACTCTGAGCGTTCACAGAAGCTTCAGTTCATAGGGTGGAGTGAAAAGTATCCCCAGGAGACCCTGAGAAAGAATGGGACAGTCAGACAGATTGTATCAAGATGGACGCAGGGTATTAAAGAAAAGCATGGGGGGAGGGGAAGAAAGGGAGATAAAGGGAGGAGGGGGGGAGGGAGGGGGGAGGGAGGGAGGGAGACAGGAAGGGAGGGAGGAAGAGGGAGAGACAGACAGAGACAGAGAGAGAGAGAATAACAGAAGGCTCAGAGAGCCACCATAGCTCGGGATTCTGGAGAAATACTGATGCTCTACAACATGTCAAGGGGGTAGACACCCCAAGGCCAGCCCATTCCCGAAGGGCAGGTGCTCTGACCACAGAGTGGCCACACAGTCCCGAGCCCATATGACCACGGGTCACTGCTGGGAAGAGGGGGATCTCTGGGGAATTCACATGCCATAGCATGACAACTACGTCGCTCTGATGAGCAGCAGGCTGCTTGTGTCAGTGGGCTGCCTTCACCTTCCGGCTGTTGTGACAGATGATTGGCAAAGGAGCGCTTGGGGACTTGTCCCCACTACCCGTTATGAATCCACGTAAAGCCATATTGAATTAAACATCTGTCGGCAACTAAGTCAGAGCCACCCAAACCCAGCCTCCTATGTCATCGATGTGTTTGCGGCTGAGACATAATGAAAATCCGGTGGTAAAACAAATGGAAAGATGCCTGACGCAGCGTGGCACAATTAGTCTAGGATTGTAGCTTTCAAAACCCAGAGAGTATGAGCAGTGGTTTGAGCTTGCCATGCTCTTTTCCTGAACGTGCAAGTCAGTGCTCACATGTCACATTAAAGTCAGAGTAAAATATACTATGGCGTGTAAACAATGGGAGCACAATAGATGCACAGGCTATAAACCCAACAAAATAAACTCGGTTTAGATGCCAAAGGTGTGTTGCAAAAGGAGAGGTGGAGAGAACACTTGGAAAGAAAAAGATTGCAAACGTGATGATGGTCTTCTCTCTGTGAAAGCAACATCTTCACTAGGGTATTTTCTTTTTTCCTTAAGTTTATTTATTTATTTTGAGAGAGAGCACACAAGCAGGGGAGGGGCAGAGAGAGACTGAGAGAGAGAGAGAGAGAATCCCAAGCAGGCTCCGCACTGTCAGCGCAGAGCCCGATGGAGGGCTCGAACTCACGAACTGCGAGATCACGCCCTGAGCCGAGATCAAGAGTCAGACCCTTAACCAACTGAGCCACCCAGGTGTCCCTTCACTCAGGTATTTCCAGTTGCATCTATTGGTTGGCAAATCGCTGAGATCAACTGTTGATTAAATGTGTCCGCTGCAATAAAAACGTTTGCATAATAAGGCACTAGACGATCTGGAGTCGTTTTCATGGAGAACAGAGGGGGAGGCTGGAAAGTACATTTTGCTGGGGGACCCTGGAGCTTTGAGATGGTGGTATGGGCAGACAAGAGAGATGAAGGAGAGCAGACAGGTGAGCCCAGCACCCGGGGCTTTCTCCCTCCAGAAGCATGTGCTGGTTCTGGATAGCTGAGAGACTGAGAAACTGAACGGAGCTTTGGCATTGCCCTTGTGGGGCTAGGGGGACGAAGGTGGGAGTTGGGGTCTACTGTGGGGCCGGGGGGATGGCACTCAGGCATCCTTGGTGCGCCAAGTTGGAGGTGTAGATCCTGCCCAGGCAGACTGCATGGACCCCCCACCCTCGTCTCCATGGAGACGAACCTCCAGACTTAACCACTGCCTCCAGCAATGGTATCGGGATAAAATCAGCTTGGGTGTGCTCCCCTCAACGGGTGCAATGCTTTCTTTCACAGCATTCACCTCAAGTAGCTGGAAAAGTAAGGCGTGTTAAATCCAAATAAACGGAAGGGAAAAAAAATAACCAAGGGAAGAAGAAATTAATGACATTTGAAACCAACGTACATACAACCTACATGACATGGACACGTTTCCAGAAACATACAACTTACCAAATCATAAAACAAGAAATATTGAACCTTAATATCCCCATAAAATCAAAAAGATTGAGTTTAAAATCTTCATTTGAAAACACCGCAGTCTCTAATGTTTTACCTGTGGTGCCATCAATCATTGAAAGGTGATGGAAATAGCAGCACCGGTTTTATCTAAACACTTCCAAATCTGTTTCCAGAGCTAGAGAAACCAGCCCCACCCCTCTGGACTCCAGGGGCATTTTACAGGTGATGGGGTACAGCAGAGGCTGAACGAGGAGGGTGGAGATCTCCCCATGTGCCATAAAGCTTTGTGGGTGTCCTGTTGGCTGCTGGAGGTGAAATCCACATCAGATCCCAGGTAAAGAACTTACTGGCTCCAAGGGGAAAAACTGCAGGCACACTCACAGAACGCCATGCTTTGGAGATGCCTGTGGTCCTGGCCCACGGGTGTCCTTGAACATCACACCACATCCCTTGGCCATCCTTCCTCAACCTTCGTGGATGGCCATGAAGAGATTTCAGTCAGTAAGTGGTTGAAATATATCACTGACATTCCTTGTTGTTCAAGGTCAGCACTGTATGAGTGAATACTGGGTGCTTGAGTTCAGCCTCGTGTAACAGGAACGGGTCCCCTGAGGACCCGGGCATGTGCCCCGTTCAGCGCATAATGGACGGGATGAATGCAAGGGCTCTTAATAATTGGGCGAGCTTTGCTTTAATGCATTTACTTGTCTAAAGAGGGGGGATCAGTTGGGCAACTTCAAAGGCGCTACAAGACCTGCCAACAGGCTATGACATTCCCACTCCTGCACACAGGGTCGCGCAGCTGGAGATCAGACCAGGTGATGGGCAGAGGGACAGATGTGACAAGCCCTCCCAGGTGGGGCAGTCAGTGACGTGTGCGAGCCAGCGAGGCAAGAATGCGGAAAACAGAAGCTCCGCGCAGGGCGATGCACAGCAGTGACCTCCCAGCCCGGTGTCTTCCGGGGGCCAGGACAGCCCACAGAAGTGCCAGCGAAGAGGGAGCAGGGAGGCCACCTTGGCTGGCATGCCGCCCTCTGACGGGGAGGGGGAGCCTCTGGCCGCGGACAGCGCGGCTGTCCCTTCGTGGCTCTCCCCGCCTGCTGCCATTAAATGGTGTCACCTCCTCTGTTCCGTTTGCAGGTGCTGTGAGCCTGCTCTCTAATGAGCCTTCCGATTCGCTTTCCTACGTGGGTCTACTCACAAGGAGAAAATGTGCCAGCGCTGCCAACGGGAATATTTCATTCGGAATAACAATGAGATCGTTCACATTGTAGAATTAGCCAACTGGTCTTCTCGTTTTCTCCGTCAGTCTACAGGGGCGTGATCCTGATGCGATGGACCTTCTCAGTGACCACAGGGTCACGTTCCTGGGTCTGGCGTGCCGAGGTCAGACCCTAACCGGACACACCTTCACCAGGGTCACCCACGCTGGGGTGTGGGACACGACTCTGCACCGTCTCTCTGCCTTTGGCCGTGTTCTGTCTTCTCCGATTTGAGGCGCCAGCAAGAGTGAGTGTTACCAGCCGCGGGAGACACTTCTGGGAGACACTAAACGGCAGGATGAAGGACAGCCCAGAAACATGTGTCATGCCAGGCATATTATTAATAAAACAAAAACCAAGCCATAAGGACTTCTTTATACCAGGAGAAAAAAGAATTCTGAAAGGTTTCCATGAAGCAAGAGATAATACATGCATTGTCATCAGAATTATTAATTAGGCTATACACTGCATCGTGAATATCTTTACTTGGTGCCTCATACGCTGTTTTCTATCCGTGAAAGAAACGTATTTAAGAAGTCTCCCCAAGTTCGTTGACTTAAGACCCCACCGCCCTCTTGATTTTTCCTACAGGAAAAATGAGCCCTTCAGTTGTGAATTTTCTGACTGGGGATGTTCAGCATTTTGGCCAAGGTGGGCAAAGAAGTTACACTGAACACCCACTGAATTCCTGACCAAATGTGATTGTTACTTGGCAGACATCAGAGGACTCCCTCCAAGTTAATTCAGTCCATACACATGCAAGGTAATCAGCAAGGTTAAATGCTAACACATTGAACACATCCGGGCCGCTTTGACCTTTCTTTTATCCCAACCAAATAATGTCTCTCTGATTTTATCAGCTCAACATGTCAGTTGCTAGAGGCTTAATAGCCCTGTCCCTGGAGAGGGAAAAAAGGCACAACCACTCAAGAGTCCCAGTTGTCTGCAGAAAGAACAGGACACGGGGCCGAGCTGGTGTTTAGTTCTGACCTTTTTTAAAGCGACAGAGAATGAAACCTCGCAAAACAGCTCTGCGCAAAAGCCGTCGGGGAAGGCGGTTGGAGCTGTGCCTCAGGACTCGCCAGGCTCTGCCCTCTCAGGGTGGCCCTACCTCTTCTCAAGATTTTTCCTCAACAGCCACCAAGTCCATAACTGTAACCAGTCGTTCATTCCGTGGTCTGTGCCGAAGTCCTTGCTGGATACCAGATTTGCAGGTGTGAACAGGCTCCCTTGTCCTTGTGAGAGCTGGGGAGACGGTGGACGGGTTGGCTTAAAGAAGGCTTCTTGATGGGGGGGGGGTGGGCAGCGGGCTGGGGAGTAAAGTGGGTGGAGAAACTGGCCAGGTGAGGCTGCCGAGGGTGGTTCAGGCTGTGACCTGGAACAGAAACAACAGGAAGTGTCAGAGGTGCTCAGAGAGTGCAAGGGGTCAGGGGACAGGACCTAGATGGGGTGGGGGGGGGCCCCGGGGGGGGCGCGGGGGGCGCAGGGCAAGAGAGGAAGCTGGTTCTCCGCAGATTTCAGACCACGAAAGTTCTTTAAACTCTGTCCTTTAAACTGTGGAGAAACACTGAGAGTTTTGTTTTTGTCTTTCAAAGAGGGAGTGACAAGATCTAATGTGTATTTTGGAAAGACCTTTGTAGGATCGGAGGAGAGTGTGGGGACGGACGAGAGCCAAAGTGGCTGGTCTACAGCGGTGAGGATGGAGAAAAGAGCGTTGGCAGAAATCTTAGGGGTGGGGGGGGGGACAGCTGCTGGGTGTGGGTCCCGGTGTAAGAACCGGAAGAGAGGTGATACTCCTCACAGAGCTCAGGGCCACGGAGGGGGCCGTCGGGAAGGCGTCAGGACACGTGCACCGGGGACTCTGGGGCCCATGAGTGTGAAGCTGAGCAGGCAGCCCCAGTCACAGAACTGGAGGAGCCCATCTGCCCACAGACGGGTGGGTGGGAAAGGCCGATGCAGAGCTCTGGGGTTCGGGAACCATGACCAGGTGTGCCCCTGAGGAGGACTGCATTGAGAAGCGGGCACCACTCAACAAAGGGGGCTCATGGGATGGGGCAGGGCAGGGCGGGGGGGTCAAGGGAGCAGCCCCCTAAACAAATTCCTGAAACGGGACCAGAGAGTGTTTAATAGACCCAGCCATAAAGAAGGCATTGATGACCCAGGTAAGAAGGGATCCCCGGGCTAGACTGGGATCTAGCAAATGGCAGATTCCTGGTGAGGAGGGAGCCCGGCGGTCAAGGATGATGGCCGTGGGGGGCATAGCGCCACAGGCTGGGGGAGACCCAGGCACCATAAAGCGCAGAGGGAAGGTTCCAGGAGCAAGGAAACCACTGACCACTTGAGCAGGCGCGCTGATTAACGGAGAAAGCCTTGGAGGAACGGGTGGGCCATGGAAGCTTGGGTCACCCAAGCAGGAAGGATGGACAGGATGGTCACGGGAGCAGAAATGGACCTTCACTCCCTACGACACTCTCATGGAGTACATTTTCTGTTTTTAAAAACAGGTACCTAGGGGCGCCTGGGTGGCGCAGTCGGTTAAGCGTCCGACTTCAGCCAGGTCACGATCTCGCGGTCCGGGAGTTCGAGCCCCGCGTCAGGCTCTGGGCTGATGGCTCGGAGCCTGGATCCTGCTTCCGATTCTGTGTCTCCCTCTATCTCTGCCCCTCCCCCGTTCATGCTCTGTCTCTCTCTGTCCCAAAAATAAATAAACGTTGAAAAAAAAAATTTAAAAACAGGTACCTAGTAATAACATGAAGTATGTGCCCAGATGCGCAGGTAAGTTTATAGCACGTAGCAGATGTGACAAAGGGTCAGCAGCGATTAAGTTTCATCAACCTTATTTTTACAATCTTTGGTTGTGTTTCTGCTGTCCCCTAAAAAAGCAAAGGGTCTGCACCAAGATGACTTGGCCCGTTTGGTCTCTGTCCCTCCCCACCGCCCCCCCCCCCCCCACATTTAACTACCCAGCTTAGCCATGAATCCAGGGACAGAGGCACATAGCTCGAAGAAGGCACAGCAACAGGGGACGTGAAGAAGCAGAAATATGTACCCGGACCAAGCGTCAACAGCAGGAATCAGCTACTACTCCTGTCCCACCACCTGATCAAATCTTTCACCTTCTATCTGATTCACACTCTACTCTTGATGCCACCATCTTGAACACTTGGCACCAGCCTCCAATTCCTTTATGCTGTTTCTCAAATTAGTCTTCTTCTTTCATGTTCACAGCCACTGCCCTGATGTGGGACCCTATGGCTTGACACACGGACCGTTTGAGGGACCACCAGACTGGGTTCCTCCTTACGACCTTTCCCTCTCCTGGTTTCTGTACATCTCTGCAACGTGAATGTGGCCGGATCTCCTGTATGATTCAGTTGTGATATTTGCACCACCGATGTTGCTGGTGAGTTTCTGATACGGCCAGGAGACATATCCCCACTAGGTTTTAACATCCTAGAGGGCTGGACGAGGGCTTCTGGTCATTTCTCCAATAATTGAATGTGTCGATAAGTCATAGAATGCGTGAAATTACTTAGATTCCTTAAGGCATCAGTACCTTGCTGAGTATGAGGCAGGGGACGAACAGGTGTCCAACATGGTGCTCACTGAGGACCGGCCGAGGCACTGGAGGCTAGGAAGGGCGATGTCTGGCAGTGGAGACCAGCTCAGAGGCAAATTTAACCACCCTCCAACCTTTTCCAAGAGCCTGAAAACCCAAACCACCTACAGACAGAGAAAGGACCGCGCAGGGCTGTTTTTGCCTGGTGTCCCAGGGTGGTGTCAGTGTTTCTAGCTCCCAGCTTCTGGACACAAGGTAGGAGTACAAGTTCATGCTCCCGTGAGCACGGACGGTCACAGGCTGGGGCACGGGGACTGTGAGAAGTCACGTGTGACACTTGTAGCCGATGTCATCGGCCCTAATCTCTCCCGCCTGTTGCAAGTGGGGGCTGTGTCCACCCAGGTGCCTGAGGGACCACAGTGGGCAGAACCCTCAGGGCAGGAGGTCCGAGCAAAACAGCGAGCTTTGTAGTAAACAAGGCCCCGTGGCTTGGGGTTGTTTCCATAAAGTAAGGTGACTCTAGTGACCACCACAGTTGCTGACTTTGTTTTTAGTTCCTTTTAGATGGGTTAACGGTCCCGTGTGAATCTTCCATATACTGTGCTTTTTTTTTTTCTCTCCCCACAAGGGAAGGACAAGGTTAAGCTGCTTTCTTAGTAAAATCATGTGCAGATTATTCATTAGCTGAGTCAATGGGCTGTTGATCCTTTGGGCTTTAGTTTTATACGTTGCATAGTACTGAGCTCTTACAACACTTGAACCATTGTAATTCATTTAAAATGGGCAACGAAAGGATATTCCACGAGTAGAAAGTGAGGAATATGATTGTTGTTGTTGTTTTCATAGAATGTGAGCTAAGTAACCTAGGCACCCATGTGCCATCAGTGAAAACGGGACCACATCACTTGGTGTTAGTAAATATCTGGAGATTATTCCACTTCATAACTGTTACGCACAGGGACACGGTAAAGAAAGCCTTCCTGAACACATGAGGCCGCTCCTGGTAGAACATGTCTTCTGGAGAGAAGGTCTTACCCACCCTGCAGTCGCAACAGATAGCACAGCAAATAACACAGAGCAGGGGAAAAAAAAAATCTTAAATAATCAGCGTTTCCAAATCTATGTTATTGTCCTACTTATCTTAAAATATACAACAGCGTGCATTAAGCACCTAAATAGATAAATCTGTATCAATATCTTTTGAATGAACAGACAGACCAAGGTAGAGAGGAAGACAGGTCTGTCAGTCTAAATGTACATTTCCTCGGGGCCCCTGGGTGGCTCAGTTGGTTAAGCATCCAACTCTTGGTTTCAGCTCCGATCATGATTTTGCAGGTCATGAGATCGAGCCCCGTGTCGGGTTCTGCGCTGACTGCATGGGGACTGCTTGGGTTTCTGTCTGTCTCCCTCTCTCTCTGTCCCTCCCCTGCAGGCGCTCGTTCTCTCTCTCTCCCTCAAAATAAATGAATAAACATTAAGAAAGATAAAGTAAATGTACCTCTCCTCAAAGGAAATGGTGGAAAGCTTTGCTGGATGCCACATTTGCCCAATGGCCATCATGGCAGCTGGTGATGCAGATGGGTTAAATTCTTCTGCTAAAAATTGTGGCATGCAAATTATATTCACATAGGGCATATATATATATATTTTTTTGTCAGAAAGAATAACACAAACTGCCTGGCATTCAATGTTTGAAGTAGGACAAGGGTCTACACACGTATTAGTTTCTCAAGTCAAAAATTTAAGTCAAGAAAGTAGAAGGCCAGTGCTGTGTACAAGGAATTTCTTGCATAGTTTGAATAACTGGGTGAGAGTCATTTCAAGAGAGAAGCTTCAACCATTTATTTCTTCGTGCCATCAGCCGTGGCTCCGACGTGTATCGTCGCCTGTTTGTTGTGAGTTCCGTTGTGTTGTCTCTACAAGGTGTGGCCGTGGAATTTACACCTTGCCAGAGGAAAGCTCTTTTGGCTCCATAAGAAGGAGAATCCAACCAACGATTTGGAGAATTTTGTGTCTCATCCACCTGGAAGCTGGAGGTAAGCTGTTTCGAGGTTGGTAGTTCTGACACGTTCGTGTCATCAAGGAGCAGGTAAGTTCCATCCCTCTGTTAGCCTCAGTGTATTCACTTTGTTCCCCCTCAGTTTATTTTTATTTATTTTGAGAGAGCTAGAGAGCAAGCAGGGGAGGGACAGAGAGAGAGGGAGACAGAATCCCAAGCAGGCTCCGCGCTGCCAGCCCAGAGCCCGAGACGAGGCTTGAACTCACAAACTGTGAGACCGTAACCTGAGCTGAAATCAAGAGTTGGACGCTGAGGGGCATCCCGGTGGCCTAGTCGGTTAGGCGTCTGACTTTGGCTCAGGTCATGATCTCACGGTTTGTGGGTTCAAGCCCCTCGTCGGACTCTGTGCTGGCAGCTCGGAGCCTGGAGCCTGCTTCCGATTCTGTGTCTCCCTCTCTCTCTGCCCCAACCCTGCTCATGCTCTCTCTCTCTCTCTCCCAAAAATAAACAAACATTACGAAAAAAAAAAAAGAGTCAGACGCTTAACCGACTGAGCCACCCAGGCGCCCCTCAGCTTATGGACTTTTACCCAGACTATTGAAACTTTAGTAGGACTGTAAAAGAAAACCATGGTTCCACACACCGTGTCCTCCTCAAAGGGGGAAGGAGAATTTCTTCTCAAGCGTACTGCTTATCAGGGAATTAGAGTTTTCCAGAAAGCCAACAGCGGTCTTAGCCATAAATTTCAAAGTGAAAGGAAAGTCAAGCATTGTGCTAACTGTTCAATACTCAGCCAACGTTCCTGCCATGTATACGCACACACCCCCCTTCGTGTACTCAAGGGGCTGGACATCTAAAAGCTGCATTTCCGAAACTTCCTTCCGGCTGGGTCCTGGATGGTGAGCTGTGGGTGAGATCCTCTTGCAAGAAATGTCCAGCTTAGAACGGAGGTAGGAGCCACCTGCCTGACGTTGTGGCTGCCAGGGGACCGGCAGAAGTCGATTCATTCAGTGACTGGAATCACATTCCAGGGTGTCGATGGCAGCATAGGGGAGATGAGGGCTGGGCAGTGCCAGGAAAGACAGAGGCAGCGGCGGCCCCCTGCTCCCCTCCTGGTTCCCCCTGTGGGGCTGAAACCATCGGTGGTCCCTCCCGCCCCCCACTACTCCGGCTCTTCTGATGACGCTAGAGCCTCTAGTTCCCGTGTTCAGTGACACTCGGCTTGCCGTGCCTCACGGGGACAGTGCCTTAGAGCGTTTTTCATGTTCTACACGCACTTTTATATGGAGTGCGAGCGGGGGAGGGGCAGAGAGAGAGGGAGGCGCAGAATCCGAAGCAGGCTCCAGGCTCCAAGATGTCAGCAGAGAGCCCGACACAGGACTTGAACCCACGAACCAGGAGATCATGACCTGAGCTGAAGTCAGACGCTTAATCCACTGAGCCACCCACGTGCCCCCAAAAAGTAACCTTTTAAAAACCTACTCTGAAAGTTTTCATTTTATAAAATTCAGCTTCGATTGACAATTAGTTCTTTCTTCTTATAAGGTATATTTCTGGAGGTGTTATGAATGCATTCAGGGGTGCTTTGGTGTCTCAGTCTGTTGAGCCTCTGAGTTTGGCTCAGGTCATGATTTCAAGGTTCGTCAGTTCGAGCCCCAGGTCGGGCTCTCTGTTATCAGTGTGGAGCCTGCTTTGGGTCCTCTGTCCCCCTCTCTCTGCCCCTCCCCCACGTGCTCTCTCTCTCTCTCTCTCTCTCAAAAATAAATAAACATTTTTTAAAAAGAATGCATTCAAATACCTTTCATATGGTGTTCTACTATTTGGGGGAGATGATACATTAATTCTGACTTGTTACTTTTATTTATTTGGCAAGGCAATGGAGTCCAGTCTCCTTCCAGATTTGACCTTGGAGAAGTACATGGAGAATCTCAGCCCCCTTCTTGGAGGATGATGTTGTAGGCAGGACCCCATGGCTGGGCCTTGACCTGTTTGCCAGCAGGTCTCACCCTCGACCCTTCCCTGCCCTGTCTGTAGCACAGGGACATTTGCTCCCTGGACTGCCCATCCCCCACCCCGTGTCACCTGATTCTTACCACCTTGGACCAGGGCTGGCCTGGAGGGAGACTGACAGTGGAGGAAGGGAGAAGGCTAGCTACTTCCGCCTCCACTCCATCCACAAAGGGTGCCATCTCTGTAATCTCATATTGTTCTCTCTAGCTCAGGCTCTTGCCAGAAAATTCCACCAGGGTTTTCTTTTCTGCGTCATGACCTCAGCCCCGGGCCCTGGGAGCACCACCCACTTCCAACATCCAGCCTGGCAAAATTGCGTATTGATTCCTCCTCCTTGCCTTGAGTTCCCTTGTAGCTTCTGAGCTCTTGCACTGCTGTGTAAACAATTCCCTAGATTATCGGACCTGTGTTTCCAGTTGTAGAGCGGTTTCTCTTTCTGCGGTCCGGCCCTCTTCTCCCCAGACACAGGCAGATGGAACTGGAAGTGCTTGGGAGTTGACGCTTCTTGGGGAGGAGGCAGGGTCAATAAAATAGAGAGGCCTCAAATAGATTGCACAGACAAGGAGAGCTGGTTAATGAATAGCTCGACCTGAAGTTTAAAGCCAAAAAAGGTTGTTCACGTGGCCAGGGGAGACCAGAGCAAGCGACATCAGTCGAAACAGGCAAATGAGCGATTGTTTGCGCACTGCGAGGTGGTGGGATGCTGGTCCGTGACGGCTGCATAGAGGCCGCAGCCCGGCCTGTGGCAATGAGGCACCCACTTGTGCCCACCGTGGGCAGAATTTTCAAACATCCTCTAAGTGAGCAAAGTAGACATTGGGTCGGATGGCACCACGTTACCGTTCTTAGAAAACAACTTGGCCCGCTGTCTTTCACTGTACTTGAACTATCACCCTTGAGGCACTGCGAGACTTCTGAGTATACCCCCAGAAATCAGAGCGTCGTAAAGCCATCTCTGTTATTACCCCGACGAGAGTTAGAAAGCCATTTTGTAAAACAAAGGAATACACTAAGAGTGAGCTTTTCTGGAAGAGAGGCAAGGAATCACGTGGAGCAGGTTATGTAGCTAATGGGGCGTGGTCTCAACAGGCGGTATCCGAGTGAACTTAGAAAAACAGTCACAAACACGTCTTTTTCGTGATGATGTCCATGGCCTGTGGCCCATGCAGGAGACTGCTATACGAACCCCACACTGGATCTAGAGGGGATAAGAAAAGAGCTTAGTGGAAAGTTTGTCTTGGGCTCACTTCGGTAACGCATGTACAAAAATTGGAACTATTTGTTTTCTTTTCCCTTTTTTTTTTTTTTTTGCATAGATCTTCTACAGCTGCTAGGTTTGACATTTCTCTTCTCAGATAGAAGAACTATTGTCAAATTGTCGATAACTAACATTCAATTCTCCAGAAGACCTAGAAATCAAGGGTTGATGGGGAGGGGGCGGGGAAGAGGGGAAAATGGGGGATGGGCATCGAGGCGGGCACTTGTTGGGATGGGCACTGGGTGTCATATGGAAGCAATGAATCAGGGGCATCTACCCCTGAAACCAAGAACACGCTGTATACACTGTATGTTAGCTAACTGGACAATAAATTATAATTAAAAAAAAAAAAAAGAAATGGAAATTTTGGTGTGACCAATGTGACAGTTAAGCTGGCAGGCCACACAAACCCTTGGGTGAGTTTCTCTGTATCCTTTTTCTTGAAAACACTATCATAGGGGCGCCTGGGTGGCGCAGTCGGGTGAGCGTCCGACTTCAGCCAGGTCACGATCTCGCGGTCGGTGAGTTCGAGCCCCGCATCAGGCTCTGGGCTGATGGCTCAGAGCCTGGAGCCTGTTTCCGATTCTGTGTCTCCCTCTCTCTCTGCTCCTCCCCCGTTCATGCTCTGTCTCTCTCTGTCCCAAAAATAAATAAACGTTGAAAAAAAAATTAAAAAAAAAAAAGAAAACACTATCATAAATCGATAGTGATTGGGAATACATGGGTGTATATATGTATTATGTGTATGTATATGCATTTGTATACGCATATACATACGTTATATTTTGCATTATATTATACACATATATTATCTTTTCACTCTTTCAAAGTACTCTTGAATGACCTGAATAGGATAGAGAGGCCGTGTGGAATTTAATCAGATTTCCTGAGCCCCCTTCCTCCAACTGAAAATACAGCCAATCAAATCCAATTGTTGGTGTCGCCATGAGTATTGAGACTTTCCCTAGATGCTAGTTACTCTTCCCTTTCTTAATAGAGAGAGCATCTGAGACACACAATCATTCTCCTGCCTTATTTGCTTATAGTCTTTATTTCCAACCTCTGTAAAACCAAAAGGAAGCTGGATTTCTCTGTAAACTTTTACCATCGGCGTGCCGGGGCACCAGACTCGTACACTTCATCATTATCCGGAACAGTTGCAAATCTTAAATGAACACGTCAATTATTCATGAGTCTAAGGTCCTGAATGCCAACTATAAATTATTAATCAGCAGATGTAAATATTTAAAAACCCTGGTGAGAAACACATTCTGTGAAAGCATTTCTGCAACAGAGTGGATAAACACCAATTTTTAAAGCAAAGGGTGGTGGTCACATAACAGCATTTATTCAAAACTCTGCACAATGGGGTTAAGCGTGTGATTCCAAAGCTCCTTTCATTCTGCCCTTAGCGTGGTGTCTTCGGTGCCACGGCCAGTGCGCTGAACCTTTGTGGGAACCGAATCTGTATCTGGTTCTTTGGATCTTGGATGGTCTGTGCCATTTCTTTTAATTTTTGTCTTGAATACAATTTTTACCTTGGGTTAAAATAACTGTGCTTTGGTTGACTTAGAGAGGTGCTTCCATTCTGTCCAACCTTTTCCCTGTTGAAGTGAAAATGTCTTTTTGTCTGTCTGTCCTTTCGCTGTTCCTTTTCCTCAGACCAACTTTGCTCCCCTCTCTCTGCCCTTCAATCCTACCGCATCTTTAATTTTCAGCTCCTTGGCTCTGCCTTCTGTGAATATTTCTCTGTACTTCTCAGTGGGAAT